CATACAAGAAATACTTACTGAACACCCATTATGAGCCAGGCCTTGTGATGGGCACTGGGAACACAGATTGCCACAGACCAGGATTCTGGTGGAATAGTAATGAAAAAAAGATCACGGATTAAATCACCCTATGAGCCTTTTCGTGCTTCATTGCTACTGTTGATCTTTTAGCTAGCAAAGTGCAATTATGAACTAGAAAAGAAGCTCAAAGAACATGCTCAGCTGATGATCTGCCACTAGCATCATTTATGTATATGAAGTTTGCATCTCACAATTATCCCTTATATTAACATTCTATTTTTTTGCCTTATTTATCTAAATTAATAATATTGTGAACTCTATAAAATATGAAGCCTTGGGGAAAAGGATTACAATAGTGGAGCATGTTTTCCTATAAATCATTAAATCATTTAAAACTTTGTGGTATTCTCCTTAAATGCCAGTAGAACAATCTTTTAGAATACTTTAAATTTGTTGTTGGATATACAAGCTGTAATTTTGCTTGTATATTTTGCTTGTATAATTTCTTAAGCTAAGAAATATGTCTTAAACTATCTCCCATGCTCTTTTTTACTCAGTCAACTAAAAATTAAGTAGAATATAAAATAATGTCTCTAAAGGTAGCTTGATTAAATAGGAATTTGATTTTTATAATTTATAGACATAAGCAGCTAAAAACTCAGCTTTTCACATCAGTGGATAAAAACTATTGTTAAAATAATTTCTCTTGTATAAAAGAATTCAGATAACTATGCCAAGAGAAATGCTGTAGGTCCTGAAGGAGTCTTTCATAATAAATGGAAAACAACAACAAAATAACTAGAATACTTTATAATTAGTTGCAGTAGATTTTAAAGAGCTGTTACTTTGCCCAGATCCTATTCTTTGTTTAAATTTTGTTTGACAAGTATTTTATAAATGATTATAGGAGGTGGTTTCTGTTTCATTAATGAAGCTGATAATGGTTAATTACTAAAGTGGAGTAAACAGTTCAAAACCAGATCAAGAATGAAAAGCCAATTATGTAGAAATGATCCAGCTGTACTAAATACGATTTCCTTTTGCTATTAAAAATCTCAAAAATATTTTAAAACTCTTAAGAAAAAAACCCAACCAAACCACCTATCTTGACTTTATTTCTTACTGTTTTGTTTAGAATTGAAAGCCACATTTAGTTTAGTTTTCAAATTCAGTGAAATAGTTCCAAAACACAAAATTGAATTCACTTGATCTTAACATAAAATGAAAATCAGTACAACTTAAGAGACATTCTTTTTGATTGCTTAACATGAACTGCAACTATAGAGGCAAATTTGGATCCTAGCTTTTCTTGTTTTTAAATTGAGATTCATGAAACTTAAAATTAACCATTTAGCAAGTGAATATTTCATTGGTATTTAGTACATTCACAGCGTTCTGCAACTACCACCTCTATCTAGTTCCAAAACATGTTCATCATCCCAAAAAGAAAGCCCATACTCATTAAGCTATTACTCCCCACTTAACCCACCCCTAGCCCCTGGCAACCACCAATGTGCATCCTGTCTTTATGGGTTTACCTATTCTGGATATTTCGTATAAATGGAATCGAGAGCAGGAACACAAGCAGGGGGAGTAGGAGAGGGAGAAGCAGGCTCCCCGCTGAGCAGGGAGCCTGATGCGGGGCTTGATCCCAGGACCCTCAGATCGTGACCTGAGCCGAAGGCAGACGCTTAACCGACTGAGCCACCCAGGCGCCCAGTACTCATTTCTTTATATGAGTTAATTAATATCTTATTGTATGTTTATACTACAATTTGTTTATCTTTTTATCTATGGATGGGCATTTGTTCTGTTTCCATCTTTTGGCTAAAGTGAATAGTGCTGATGTGAACATGTATTTGAATACCTGTTTTCAATTCTTTTGGGTATGTATTTAGGAGTAGAATTGCTTGGTTATTTGGCAATTCTATGTTTTACTTTTTGAGGAATCACTGAACTATTTTCCATAATACTGAGCTATTTTACATTCCCATCAGCAATGTACTAAAGTTTCAGTTTCTCCACGCACTCACCAACATTGTTACTCTTTAAAAAAAATTTTTTTTAAAGACTTTATTCATTCATTTCAGAGAGAGTGTGAGTGAGAGAGCACAAGAAGGGGGAGAAGCAGAGGGGTGGGGAGAAGCAGATGATCTGCCGAGCAGGGAGCCTGACGTAGGGCTTGATCCCAGGACCCCAGGATCTGAGCTGAAGGCAGCCCCTTAACCGACTGAGCCACCCAGGCACCCCTTAGTTACTATTTTTTTAAAATTATAGCTATATCCTAGGGCGTATGAAGTGGTACTTTATTATGGTTTTGATTTGCATTTACCTCGTGGCTAATGATGTTGATTTTTTCATGTGTTTGTTGGCTATCTCTATATCTTCTTTGGAGAAATGTGTAATCAAGTCCTTTGTGCATTTTTAACAGGGATTTTTTTTGTCTTTTTTGTTGTTGAGTTGTGAGAATTCTTGATATTCTGGGTACTACATATATGATTTGCAAATATTTTCTCCCATTCTGTAGATTTTATTTTCACTTTTTTGAGAATGTTCTTTGAAGCATAGAAGTTTTTAATTTTGATGAAGTCCAATTTATCTATATTTTCTTTTGTTATTCAAAGTTTTGATGCCAAACCTGGGAAACCATTTCTGAATCCAGGATCATGTCAGTTTACCCCTGTGTTTTCTTCTAAGAGTTTTATGGTTTTTGCTCTTAAATTTAGGTCATTAACCCATCTTGAGTTAACTTTTTATATGATGTGAAGCAGGGGTCCAATTTCATACTTTTGCATGTGGATATCCAGTTGTCGCAGCATTTGTTGAAGGGACTATTCTTTCCCCATTGAATGGTATTAGTATCTTTGTAACAAATCAATTAGCCATAGATGAATAGGTTAGAGACTGGTTTTAAATTACTGCAAAACCAAATGGACATTTTTATCTTACTACAAAGATTCTAAAAAATTTGATCCCAGACTAATGGGGGTGTATAAGGATTTTCCTGGTGTTACACATTCTGGTCTCTCGGTTTAGTTCTTACAACAGGATATGGTAGTGAGGAAGCATTTGATAGTGGAAAGAGCATTCTCTGTACACTGCCTAGGGTTTGAATCACATCTCTCTGCATTTACCCTTCATTGATCTTAGGCAAATAACATTACCTGCTTCTTGAGGACAATGTCTAGAGGTTTCTTAGTTGAATTTATTATTATGGTGGTCATTATTGGTAAGCTGCCAAACCCTGCAATCATGTTTCTGAACTTTGTTCTTTTACTGCAATGACAACTGTGTGGGAAAGGGTGTCCATTGGATCTTTTCTCCATATAGTGTATTGTAGAAGAAAGAAGTTTGGTGTTTACTTTTTCATTGTATATTCTGTTCTCCCTCCACCTTCCACTTAGTGGTGTGGATTCACAAAAGCAACCGTGCATTTTTTCCCAACTCTGTACTCTGTATCATCATGTTGGTAGCTTGATATTGGCCATGGTGGGAGTATATACACACCAGGGGAATAATCAAACACTACAAATCAAATTTGTTTTTTCCAGTGAGCTGACTCAGTAGCTTACCATTGCTCCCACTCCTGTCTTAGCTTATTAATTTTTAATAATTCTTTTTAAAAGATTTTTATTTATTTATTTGAAGGAGAGAGAGAGAGCACAGCAGGGGGAGCAGCAGAGGGAGAGGGAGAAGCAGGCTCCCCACTGAGCAGGGAACACAACATGGGGCTTGATCCCAGGACCTTGGGATCATGACCTGAGCTGAAAGCAGATGCTTAAAGACTGAGCCACCCAGGTGCCCCAAATTTAATAATTCCTTAAAATTCAGTTCAAGTGAACTCTCACTTTGGAAGTGTGTGACTCCTCTCTGCTTTCAGAGAAACCAGTGCATAATTTTATTGCCTTTTCAATGACTTTTTAAGGATCAAATTCAATGTCAGGATTTAACCAGAGAAGCAGAACCAGGGATTCTAAGGGATTTATTGCAAGGAATTAGCTGGCACAGCTGTGGAGGGTGGCTGAGTAAGTCCAAAGACCATAGGCAGATAGAAGGTCAGGGAGAAAAGATCACAAGTAGGTTGGGACCCATGGGCGTGAGCTGTTTGGAGTCGTCTTCTTCATTCCGTTGACTTCCTGCATCATTAGTCTCTCCTCTCTTCACTACCATCATTCCTGTCATCTTACAAACATAGTCCGCTTCATGTTAAAAGCAACCTTAAATCTGGACCTTAAATCCCAATCTAGATACCATCCCACTTCTCTGCTCCTCCATGCAGCTGAACTTCAGCCAAATGAACAGAGAATGTTTCTATCTGTTGTGTTTTGCTACCTCTCCTCCAATTCACTTTTTTTTTTTTTAAAGATTTTATTTATTCATGAGAGAGAGAGAGAGAGAGGCAGAGGGAGAAGCAGGCTCCCAAGGAGCAGGGAGCCCGATGCGGGACTCGATCCCAGGACCCTGGGATCATGACCCGAGCCGAAGGCAGACACTTAACCATCTGAGCCACCCAGGCGCCCTCACTTTTTTTTAAGTCAACAACTTTTATTGTAATTAATATATTTTATAGAAACAGGAATGTATCAAAGGTCAGGGTAATATGAAAAAAAAAGTTTTAAAACTTCAAGTTTGAGCAGACGCTGTGGCCCTCCAGTTGCCCCCCAGCCGCCCCTGAAACCCAGCCATGGTCAACCCCACTGTGTTCTTCGGCATCTAGGAAGACTGTGAGCGCTTGGGCTGGGTCTCCTTTGAGCTGTTTGCAGGCAAAGTTCCAAAGACAGCAGAGAACTTTTGTGCTCTGAGCACTGGGGAGAACGGATTTATTATAAAGTTTCCTGCTTTCACAAGATTAGTGCAGGATTTATGTGTCAGGGAGCTGACGTCAGAGCCAAAATGGCACTGGCAGCAAGTCCGTCTATGGGGAGAAATTCCATGATGAGAATTTCATCCTAACGCACACAGGTTCTGGCATCTTGTCCATGGCAAATGCTGGACCCAACACAAATGGTTCCCGGCTTCTCATCTGCACTACCAAGCCTGAGTGCTTGGATGGCAAACGTGTGGTCTTTGGCAAGGTGAAAGAGGGTATGTGGTATGTGGAAGCCATGGAGCGCTTTGGGTCCAAGAATGGCAAGACTAGCCAGAAGATCACCATTGCTTACTGTGGACAACTCTAATACATTTGACTTGTGGTTTATCATAACTACACAGACCATTCCTTCTGTAGCTCAGGAGAGTACCCCTTCAACCCCACCTGCTCGAAATATCCCATAATCTTTGTGCTCTCGCTGCAGTTCTATGGGTTCCCTATTTTCCTTACTCCCTCCAAGTCCAGCTGGATTGCAGAGTTCAGTTTATGATTATGAGATAAAAACTAAACAACCACAACAAAATAAAACTGCGGGTTTGTACATGTTGCTCTGTTTACATCTGGAACAGGTACAGCAGCAGCACTTGTCCAATGCCTCCTTGTAGATGCAGCCCTGCGCCCCTGTGGCACCACCCACTGGGCAGCAGGAGTAGCAGTTCTTCTTCAGGAGGTGCATTTGCACTCTGCATTTGCAGGAGCCGGTGCAGGTGCGGGAGCAGTTAAAGGTCCATTTTGAGCAGAGGTGAGGTTGGAGGTGCAAAGCAGGTGACACACAGGGAGACATGTTGGAGGCATGGCTCCAATTCACTCTTCAATCTTCTATGTAATCTGGTTTTATTCTCACCACAACTACTAAAACTGTTGTTTTCAAGGTCACCATGGCAGGCACTTTTGATTGACTAAGGCTTTCATTCCCAACCCCCTTTTCCCTTGTCCACTTTCTCTGTAGAGGCTAGAAAAATCAAACTCTCACCTTCCCCGAGCTTCCCGTGGAGTTCAGGGTGGCTGTATGACATAGTTCTGACTAATGAGATCCAAAAGAATTCCGAGGATAGGAGTTTCTTTTGAAAGTTTTTCTTTCACTTTTTTTTTTTTTAACCCGGGCATGGAGCCCAAAACAGGGCTTGAACTCAACGGCCCTGAGATCAAGACCTGAGCTGAGATCAAGAGTCAGATGCTTAACTGACAAAGCCATCCAGGTGCCCTGGAAAGCTTTTCTGTTCTCTCTCTCTTTTTTAAGATTTTGTTTATTTAAGAGAGAGATAGTGAGAGAGAGCATGAGCGGGGGTGGGGAGAGGGAGAAGCAGGCTCCCCGCTGAGCAGGGAGCCCAATGCAGGGCTCGATCCCAGGACCCTGGGACCATGACCTGAGCCAAAGGCAGACGCTCAATGGACTGAGCTACCCAGGTGCCCCAGGCCTTTCTAGTCATAATAAAGGGACATATTCGATGAGCTCCACACCCTTGTTTTTTCCCCCTCTGCCTTGTACATGAGTCCAGAGTAACGACACCCATCATGCAGCCATCCGGGAAAGTCCAAGGGAATCACAGCAGCTCCAACATGCAGCTGCCAACTAGTGCCTGTAGCGGCTCATCTCCAGACTTTTTGTTGTGTGTGTGGGGAAAAAAGCAAGATTCTTATTTGGGTTCAACTTGATTTTTTGTTGTTGTTTCTTGATTCTGAAATCAGTTCTTATTAATATAGTCACCACCAACTTTCATGCTGCTAAATTCAATAGACTCTTTGCTTTCCTGATCTCTTTTAGATTCTCAGTAGCATTCCACACTGTTGAGCACCTTCTCCATGAAACATACGTCTCTTTTCTTATTTTTATTTTTTATATTATGTTATGTTAATCACCATACATCACATCATTAGTTTTGATGTAGTGATCCATGATTCATTGTTTGCGTATAACACCCAGTGCTCCATGCAGAACATGCCCTCTTTAATACCCAACACCAGGCTAACCCATCCCCCTACCCTCCTCCCCTCTAGAACCCTCAGTTTGTTTTTCAGAGTCCATAGTCTCTCATGGTTCATCTCCCCCTCTGATTTCCCCCCCTTCATTTTTGCCTTCCTATACTATCTTCTTTTTTTTTTTTTTTAACATATAAGGTATTATTTGTTTCAGGGGTACAGATCTGTGATTCAGCAGTCTTGCACAATTCACAGCGCTCACCATAGCACATACCCTCCCCAATGTCTATCACCCAGCCTGCCTCTTTCTTAGTTTTTCTTTTTCCTTTTTAGCTACTCACTCTATTTTGCAAGTTCACTCTTCTTAAACCAATATTAAATATTGGAGTTTCTCAAGGCTGTGTCCTATTCCTTGGTGATCTTATATATTTTAACAGCGTTAAATACCATCAATATCCTGAAAGCTTCTAGATTATTACCTCTATCATCGGCTTCTCTAAATTCCAACTTCATATTGTCTAATTCTCTGCTTGATATTCTAGATGCTTCACAAACATTTTAGTCTCAATATATCCAAAGTTGAGCTATTGCTTTTCCATTAAAAATGTATTCCTCTTCCCCCTTATGTATCTTAGTAAACTGTAATACAATCCGTCAATCAGAAACCTGGAAGCCAACCATGATTCTTTACTCTCCATCATCCTTAATATAGCAGTTACTATGGGTTGGCTCACCTAACATCCACTGCAATAAACTTCTCCCTGCTTTTCTCTGTTTTAAAGATTGGAAAATGAAATACTCATTTCCTAGCCTCCCTTGAAGCTGAGTGGCCAGTGACATAGTTTTGATCAAGGAAATATGGATAGATCTTTTAGAAAGTGCATAACTTTATTTTAAATAAAGTTTTACTAAAAGAAAATCTTTGCAAGTCTCCCTCTGTCTTCCTTACTGGAACTCATTTGTGGTACCTGGAGGTACAGCATCCATCTTGTGACCATATGGTTCAAAGCACATGCTAGTGATGAGAAAGCAAGGAATAGAAGTATCTTGAGACATTGATGACATCAATAGAACTACTGTTAAACTGTTAGACTTGTTACATTCAGACTTATTATATGGGGGAGAAAAACTCTCCACTTAGCCCTTATACTCATTGTAGTAGACTATTAATTGCATCCAAATGCAATTTCTAACTCTGACCATTTAGTCCATCCACAAATCCTACAGGGTCTACAGCAAAATATATCTTGAATCTACTCACCTATCTACTGGGTCAGATCACTATCATCATCTAAGTCTAAGCTACCATCATCTTTCACCTGCAGTACTGTGATAGTCACCTAACTGGTTACCTCACTACTTCTTTTAGTTTCCTCCAATGTATTCCTCATGTAGCATCCAAAATTATTTAAAAACAATATTCACTCTGTGAATGAGGAATATAGGGGAATTACCTCAACTTGAGAGTATAAAAAAATATTGCACCTGGGTGGCACAGTTAGTTAAGCATCAGACTCTTGGTTTTGGCTCAGGTCATGATCTTGGGGTTGTGAGATAGAACCTTCTGTGGGGCTCTGTGCTGAACGAATCTGCTTGAGACTCTCTCTCCCTCTCCTTCTGTCCCTCCCCACTGCTCACTCTCTTTCTCTAAAATAAATAAATCTTTAAAAAACAATGTTACAGTTGGGGTGCCTTGGTGGCTCAGTTGGTTGAGCGTTTGCCTTCAGTTCAGGTCATGATACTAGAGACCAGGGATCGAGCCTTGCATCGGGCTCCCTGCTCAGCAGGGAGTCTGCTTCTCCCTCTGCCCCTCACCCGGTTCATGCTCTCTCTCTCTCAAATAAATAAAGTCTTTAAAAAAATGTTATAATAACATCACACTTAATGCTGAAAAACTAAATGCTTTCTCCCTAAGATTGAGAATAAGGTAAGGATTCTGTTCTAACCACTGTTATTGAGCATAGTACTTGAAGTTCTACCCTTTGCAAAAAATCAAGAAAAGTAATAAAAGGCAGGGAACGCCTGGGTGGCTCAGTCCGGTAAGCATCTGCCTTTGGGTCAGGTCATGATGCCAGGGTCCTGGATGGAGTCCAGCATCAGGCTCCTTGCTCAGCAGGGAGCCTACTTCTCCCTCTGCCTCTGCTGTTCCTCCTGCTTGTGCTCTCTCTCTCTCTCCCTCTCTGACAAATAAATAAAATCTTAAAAAAAAAAAGAAATAAAGGCCATACAGAAAAGAAAAGAAGAAATAAAACTATTTCTATTTGCAGATGACACGATTGTCTACATAGAAAATTCCAAGGAGCCCCATATTGGGTGTGGAGATTATTTAAAAATAAAAATAATAAAGAAAAACTAAACCAAAACAAAACAAAGCATATACTTAAGATTATTGTGCCTTTTCTGCATAGAATCCTTAAATGATTTATTATACCTGGAAAAAAATTTAGACTTCTCTTTAAGGCTCTTATGTTAACTAACTGGAATTTAAATAAAAACTTAAAAAAAAGAAAAAGAAAAATGGGAAAAATCTGGTTTATATTTTCTCTCCAGTATCATCTTAGGCTAATTTTGTCTTCTCTCCCCGCTCACCACACTGGACTTCTTTCGCTGTTACACAAGCCAACAGACAACAGTGTTTTGTTCCCACTAAAACACTCCTCTCTCTGCTCTTCCTGTGGCTTTTTCTCATCCTTTAGGTCTTGGTTTGGATGTCATTTACTCAAGAGCCTTCCTGATGACACTTGCAACTTTATAGCAAACTAGTTGGTTAGATTTATAACTCTTTAGATTGTTTGTTACTGATAAGGTAACAATGTTAATATTTATTTTAAATGGCATGTATCTATCTATCTGGGCTAGCTGCCTATTGAATGACTGTATAAAAAGAATAAACTTCGGGAAATTTCTCCATTTATGCTTATTAAAGAGTATCAGTGAACTATGTAATTATAAATAGAATGCTTAGGTGACAGTAGCCTGTATAAAATTTAAAAATATGTTCTGCATTCCCTATTTAAAATATTAACATATATTTGCATATATTTTCAAGTACTTTGGAATAAGTACTATGTTAACATCACAGTAAGTCTAGGGTATTAATATAAACCAGGGAAGTACATGTAAAATTATTAACAGTAAAGTCCTGAATGAATTATTATTTGCAAAACTAAATAAGGAAGCTTGTTGCCAATGAATTGTAATATCTCAGATATAATAAGGGTGGGATTGAGGGTGTAAGTGGTCATGGTGATATGAATTAATGAAAAGTTTGAATCATTGAGCATTTGAGATACATCATTTGAATACAGAATCTAATAATTATAAGTAGAGGCTAAAATTGGTAATTATCTAAATAATAAAACTCCTAGAAGAAAACATAGACTGTAAGCTCATTGCATTGGTCTCGGTGATGATTTTTTTGGATCTGACACCAAAAGCAAAGGCAACAATAACAAAAATAGATAAGTGGAACTACATCAAACTAAAAAGCTTCTGCACAACAAAGGAAATCATTAAAATCAACAAAATGAAAAGGCAACCTACTGAATGGGAGAAAACATTTGGAAATTATATATCTGATAAGAGACTAATATCTAAAATATATAGAGAACTCTATAACTCAATAGCAAAAAACCCAACCAATCTGATTAAAAAGTGGGCAGAGGAGGGGTACCTGGCTGGCTCAGTGGGTGGAGTGTGTGGCTCTTGGTCTCAGAGTTTGGGTTCAAGCCCCATGTTGGGGAGTAGACATTACTTGAAAATAAAATCTTAAAAAAAAAAAAGTGGG